CGGCCAAGGTTGGAAGACCCTTTCTTAACATAAGATGACGCGCGCGGGGTCCACTACCCCCATGATGACGCGCTCGTCATAAAGGTGAAGATCAACGACTTCAAAGTCAGACGCGTCCTTGTCGACTCAGGCAGCTCGACGGACATCCTCTTCAAAGCAGCCTTCGACCAACTGCATCTCCAGGAGAGCGACCTAAAGCCCGTGAGCACTCTCCTGGTAGGAGCCAGTCAGGGCTTCGCGGTATACCATAGAGATGCCTTAAACGCTAAGGGATAGCCCGGGATAACGATTACCGAAAAATCCTACTTCAGGTATGCAGCTCTAATAGCTCGAGTGATGAGATCGCTTTGGCAAAAAATAAAAGAGCACACCATACTTAGAAGAAAAAGAGAAATTTCATTGCCATTCCAAAAAAAAAAAACCGAGCTAAACAGCTCGAGAAAGTTCAACAAGGGATAAAAAAGGGCACAACCGCCCAAGAAGATCTTTGAAGACCGGGTTCTGGCACTTGGGAACCACCAGTGATAAGTCAAAAGAACAGAAAAACAGAGCCGCCAGCCTTAGGGGTCCACCTCGTCCTCATCCTCCGGGGAGTCAGGCTCTTCCTCCTCCGCCTGGTCTGCCGTCTCGGGAGCCAGGCCTTTCATGGTGATGCCGTCAAGGTTGAGCCTAGAGAACTTCTTTCGGACCAACCAGCGACAAAGCTTGAATCCGGAGCGGTACGAGCTCGAGCCATACTCCACTTGGAGGTCGTGATACTCCTGGGAGTCCTTGAAGTCCCAAACTGCCTTCCCCCGCTCGGCCTCCACCATGGTGTCGAAGTTTCGAGTTCGGTCCAGAAGTGTAGACTCCAAGTCTCGAACTTGTTGGCGAAGGAGCTCCCTCTCCGCTGCCACCCTCGACGACTCCTCCCTGTAGTGCGCGCTCTCCTCGGAAAGCCTGGCGATCGGCTCTTCCGCCCAGCCACGATGTAGTCATTGACCCCCTCCCAGTTCCCTTCCGGGAACTGCGAGTAGGGGAATGAGCGGGAAGGACCAGGAGGAATTACCCCCTTGCCTTGGGAGCTCGCCCTCCTCGAGGCCACCCTCTCCGGCGCCTCCTTCAGATGGGGCCGATGGAACTTCAGGCAGTGGAGAAACAAGGTCTGGCTCAGTAGACTCGAACTCAGTGCCCCCAGAAGTGGGAGTTTGGTCGGGACGCGACCTCTTCTTCTTACGCTTCTAGTTGCTGGAGAGAAGGCGGCGCACGTCAACACTAGACATGATGGCTGCCAAAAAACCACAAGGTATTAGTCCAGTAAAAAAGGAAATATATGTATACACATGATATATTTACAGGGCACTACGCGACCTAAAAGGCAACCTACCCGGACTCAGGCCAGCTTGCGCGAGCTTCTCCTCGGTAAAGTAATCTGAACAGAGAAGGCCTACAGCTGCCTAGGACAGCAGCGTTTTCCGAGTTTCAGAGTCCAACTCAGCCCCGGGGTCCTGGATGGTGCCCCTCCAAGAAGTTGGGAAGGGCCACCCACCCCTCGGGGTTACGGACCACAAAATAGTCCCACTTCCAGGCGGGAACCCTGTTCGGCAGGCCGTGCAAAAGCTTAAAGCCGCGGCGGGGAGAAAAGTAATAAGAACGCCTTTCCGGAGGTGCTCTGGGAGTGGCATTCTTAATACAGAGAATGGAAGAAAAAAATATCAAGGTCAAGGGGGAGGCAATACTCATAGCACAAGGAAATGGTCCCAACCACATTCCGGATGGCGTTGGGATGGAGCTGGTCAATGGTGACGTTAAAATAATTCAACACCTCCACTATTAGGGGGTGTGGGGGAAAACGCAGGCCAACCTCGAGTTATTCTTGGAAAATCACTATATCATTGGGACCATGCTCCCAAGGAAAGTTACCAGAGGGGAGACCGTTGATAAGGTCCCCGGGAAGGTGAAAATGGCAGGCTAGAGATCTGAGCCTCCCCATCGTCATAGAGGAGGGACCGAAGGTGTCGGGCTCTCTGCCCCGAGAGGTAGAAGCCACATCGCCGGAGGTCTCCCCAGCCTCCAGAGCCTGCTCCCAAGCTCCCCTCGAGCTCGAGGGGGTGTCGTCGTCCTGGTCACCGTCCCGGGGATAAACGTGGTACGAATACCTAGACATGATTGACAGAATGAATGACTCACAGGAAAGATGAAACGGTGTGAATAGAAGAGCTCAGGCAGACTAGATGGATGTGCGACCTTAGAATCCGAAGACAACAAGTTAGCGTGAAAGAAAATGAGGCCTGGGGGCCCTCCTATTTATAGCCACTGTGCCCCTAGACCAACGGCCCAGATTGAGGCAAATCTAACGGTTCGTAGTCAAGTTGAGCGCACGTCTTCTGAAACCGAAATGTGACTAGCTGCACGTCTCCCATGATTGAGGTAATGACGGCTGCACGACATCCAGAGTTAAGAGCCGCTTCGGCACATTTCTCGGCATTCGAAGTGTCAGAATCTCTTGACTTYTGCGCACGCATTTAATGCGAATAGTCAATCAAATTTGAACTTCGGTCAAATCCACCTGTCCCACTTCATGAACTCCTCACGCTAAGGTAGCACTCTTAGCCCGAGGAGTGGGGGGCAATTGATGGAGGATGATTTGGCCCGACCCCTTGAGACAATGACACGTGGACCTGACTCGGCACGAGCAAACAACTCAGCACCGTAGCCTGACTACGACTAAGTAACGAGCCTGCAGGACAGCTCGCTACGTCATAGCTCGCTGTAGGGGCAGCTCGCTACACCATAGCTCGCTATAAGGGGAGCTCGCTACAACGCGAGCTCGAGGTCCCCCGAGCTACTGAAAGGGAACACTCCAAGACAAGTCTATCCTAGCTCGCGAGCTAGGATAACCAGCTCGCTCCAACACTTGGGCAAGAAAACTGCCCCAAAGACAACCTTGAGAAGGGTCACCTCGAAGTACTCCTAGGAGCTCGCTACAAAGTAGATCGTGACAGGATAGCTCGCTACGCGACAGGATAGCTCACGGCTAAGCGACGCGATGCTTTCAGGAAGCTTCTATCTGACAAGACCGTACCTGTCAGACTGCGCCACGTCTCCTGA